AAATCAATGAGCTTTTATACATTATGAACAACATTGGGACTTTACTACCACGATTAAGATCATTATAAGCAATATAGTCATTTAGAGTATCCGGGGGGATCTATACTAACGATAAGCAATTCATACTCATCTACATGACAATGACTTTATGTGGATACCAGCGACGCCTTACTATTGTTCTCAATGAAGCGTCGCCTCAAGCCAAACCTGAATTAGCATTATTATATGCCTTCGCTTTGTCGATCAATCCGCATTTCGGGTCCCGAGTCATGTGGCTTGAATCACGTTTTCACAACTCGGCTAGGTCATATTACCCGTTACAACGTACGTACGTATGTAACAAACCCTGGTCTTATTGGATTGTTTATTTTACTGAGCCTGGCTTGGGCTCATAATATTTTTGGGGCTTGCTAGTGGTGTAGGCGTAATATGCCACTAATTATGCTCGGTTGATTATTTTTATATTACTGTATTAATGTTAACAAACAGATTTGCGTCCGTACGTACCTTTTTAAATTTTCGTAATTAAATTATAACTATTTGTCTGCATCACTAGGCCAGACAAAGGAATATCCGCCCAACCTGGCCATCTGCTTTGTTAATAAACTTCCTGAAATAAGCAACCAAGTGAAACGTCCGGTTCTTGAGATAACTTTTTTGAATCTATTAATGGATCAAGAACCGGGTCCCAATGGTTATATGCAAGAGTAGGTGCTACAGGGCATTTTTAGTTTCAAAAACTGCAAAATGTTGTAATCTTATATCGCATTTACTTATGTATGTACGTATGATAATCAAACAAATGATTATTCTTAGCGGGTCAGCAAGTTCAATTTTTGATTGTTGCGAAAGAACAATGAGTTTCAAAATTAACGTTAAAAGGCGTATTTTATGAATTTAAAGCCTTTAATGTTTAAATCGATCTTGGTGCACTAATTAAAAATATCGAAAACAAAATTTTACATATAGGAAATGACATTTTATTTCTGTCCCCTGCAGCATCAAGTCGTTTCAATAGTTTGAATCGTCCCCTATACTATGTGACAAATACCGTTACGCGATTAGATATGTGAAAAATCCGGTCGGTCCCGACTCGACTCCTGGTCCCAAATCAGATTTGGAACCTGAGTCCCAAAAGTCA